GCGGAGGCGAACCCCGACACGTCCTTGACCCTCCCTCCCCGCCCCTCCTCACGGGCCGGGGGGGGGCCGTTGGGGTCCCGCCACATCGCGAACCCCCAGAGCCCCTTTCCCCCGTCCACGACGGAGCTGGGCTGGCCCACAACGCTACATCAGCTCCGGCTGTGCGAGGTGGGGTGCACGGCCCTCTGGCGTCCTGCCCCGGTCTTCCCCCCGCCGGCGACCGAAGCCGCGGGACGCCGGCCCTACCACGAGGCCGTCCACCTGACGCGCTGGGAGATCCCCTCCACCGTCCTCGCGCTGGAGCGCTACCAGCTCATTTGGATCCCATATACCAAGCCCGACCCCTCCCCCAGCCCCATCGACGCCGCGGAAGACGAGAACCTCAATTTTTTGACCCTGCTAGGGTGCGATTCCAATGAGGATGACTACGTCGGGATCCGAGACGACGACCACCGGGCGGAGGTCTCGCAGGTCTTGCGGGCAGGACAGTTGTCCTCTATAGAGCGGCGTAGCGCGAAGGTAGTAACGACGGTTTGTCGCGTGATCAGCACCTCCGGTGGAATCCCGCCGACCCTCGCGGTATCCACCAAAAACTTCCTCTTCATATTAGAAAGAATCCTACGTCACACCTTCTTTTACTCCCCCCTCCCATTATTGGGGGTGCACCCTGACTGGCGACTGGAGTCCTGGCAAAAGACGCTGCTAATGGATACCTACGAAGCATCTCACTCGCACAGTGGGCTGACAACGGGGAACAACAGCTGTCTCGATGATATGCCTACTCTTGTTGTGGAAGGTAACACTCAGGAGGTTGAAGTGCGTGATCCCTTAATAACCAGCGTAATCGAGCATTGGGAGGGCTCTGCAAATCTCTCAACCACTTCTCTCCAGGAAAACACTGCTGTAAAGAGTGGTTTGATCACGACGCCGTCTGCCATAGAACGTAGCTCTGAGAAACAAGGGGAGGATTGGTTTCTGTCAGGTCCGCGAATGGAGCCGCAACAACCAGTCCGGTTAAGCTCCAACAGCAATCTCACCCAATGGAGACATAGTGCCCTGAGTCGGATGCTGAAAAACGATGTGTACGGCCCCGAAGTGAAGGAAGGCTGGCGGATATGGACGCGGGCCTGCAAGGAGGGCCTGAGCCGTCCTCTTATTATCAACTCTATCGATGAGATCGTGCACTTTTGTGGGTGCTCGCGCAACGCCTTTTACAGCGCAGTGGCCTACCTCGACCGCTTTGTCGCCCTCGCGACGGACCCTGTTCTGAGCTGCCGGGATTTCCTCAAACGCATCCTGCAGGGCCGCTCCGGCGCCTCCGCCACGCTGCACCCGACCTTTACCATCGACTACCAAACCCTCTGCACCTACCTCACCCAAGTCATCGCAGCTTGTGCGATGCTGGGGTGCAAATTTGTGGAGACCTACCCACCGCGGGTCAATAAAGTCTTAATGTGTTTGCAGGCGGAATCCCGCCTATCCCAAGGGGACTTTTGGATGCTTGAGATTCACGTCCTGTCGACGCTGCGATACCAAATGCAGCCCGTCACCACTAATGAACTCGTAGAGACACTGTTATGCTTTGGGGGCGGGGACGGGCTGGAGCGAGAGTGTAGTGTGGAGTACTACACCCATCTTCTCCATGGCCGCGCCCGAAGCGAGCCCCACCTTGCTCCACAGGTCTACAAACGCATCCTACAACACCGCGAGTGCGCCTCGCGATATGCGGCTACCGAAAGTTCAGTGACGGAAATCCCCCGCTCGCCCATATCGGGGGGGTCCCCCCTTAGTACTCCATCCTACCGCTCGAAATGGCACCAGCTTTGCATGCTCGCGCGGTTCATCTGCGATATGATGATTCGTGGATCCCCAACGGCCTCGGCGAGCCCCAGCGCGAGCTCGGACCTGAGCTGTTTTCTGGACGTCCCGCCGGCGCTCTCGGCGGTGGCGATCGTCGTCGTAACCGCCGAGGTGCTTCGCACCCCACTCCCGGTGCCTCTTTTTTCTCTCCTTCCGTCCTCTTATCAGGCGCAGCTTCAGCGGTACGGCCTGAACCCCGCGACCCGGACCTTTCCTATCCAAACCGGCGAGTCCGGCGCCGCGGCAAACGACCACTCGGTCTCTGGAAACGATCAATCGGGCGGTAGGAGACTCCCAAAAGGGCAGACCTCCCCCGACGCCCCCGCCGCCGAGTGCGGCTCTGCCCTTTCTTCCTCGGCCTCCCTCTTTCCGGTTTCCATCCACGACGACACCTATGCGCTGATCCAAACCTACTGCGAGATGGTGAAATCAATGCCCTACACTAATCTTAGCAAACCTTCAGAGTTGGCAGCGGAGGTCGCCGGCGGCCGCTGCCGAGACCAAGACAGCAATCTGCTCATGCTCGCAATCGAAGAAGTTCATGAATGCTATCGTGAGTGCCGCGAGACGCCGTGCGACCCTATTCTTCGAAAGCGGTATCGAGATATGTTCTCAACGCAAGTTGAAGAGTAAAAATGGAAACGTAAAAATGTTCTCCCTTCAATATGTATTTCTACACGCATTGACGTTTTATTAATCTGATTATATCAAGATTTTTTATTCAACGCGTTCATTATATATATATAGATAGATCATTATATCTATATATATATATAATCCTTTCCTACATGATATCCTATTTTCCGGCTAGGGGAAAAAAAATGTATAGATCATAAACCAAATACCTGAATTTATTTTCAGCACGAACAGTAAACTTGCAAAATGTCTGTTTATACAGCTTGTCGCAAACCGTTATCGCAACAGTCTGTCTCTTAGTCGTTTGTTTTTCACCGTTTTCGCTTATGACAGCGTTTTGTATCGCTTTTTACTATTTCAAAGTTACATCCTTTTTATTCAATTCCTCACAATTTATCACTCCCCGCCATCTGGAATAAAGATGGAAATGATGTATTCTTATAATGGAAAATACATCGCATCATGCTTTCTACTGAGGCCGCGTCTTTTTTTAATGTCCTTCGAGATACACCTCACTACTTCCATATTGTCATTGACACACAGAATAGGAAGAAACAAAAACAAAAGTTGTGATAATAAACAGAACAAAGGCTAATTTTTTCCCCGTTCAGAATCTACACCTAGTGCTTATTGGGGAGATATATTCCTTTTTATTTCCTTTTTTTCCTCTTTTTTTTTTTTAGATTATAATATTCTTAAAATAATATTCAGATTTGTATTGCGGTTGTTGCTTAAAATTTATACCAATGTGTTTGCGGGAAAATGAATATCTGGTATATATCGATACAGCAAGGTATTAAAAATCGCTTTTGAGTTTTGAATTTTCGGTAAGAAACTTATTTCATCAGAAATGATGGAAAGTAAATTCTAAGGGGGAAAGGGGAGCTTTCTTTAAACTAATAAAATAGGCTTCTAGAGCTCGCAACAGATATAATATACGTATATATATATATATATATATTTATATAATGATACCTTTGTTGTCATCCTTTTAATTACTTGAAAATGGGAGTGCTTGCTTTGCACGTGTGTTAATTCGCGCTTCAGGATTCGAAGGACAACAAATGAGGGATATAGTAATGATTTGGTCTATTTGCATATGTTTTTGTATGCATTTAAAAAAAAACATGAATTTTGTACACACATAGATGGGACTATTTATCACTAAAACATGGATAGTTTTTATATCACACAATTCCAGTTTAATATAGTTTTCCGGATTAACAGGCTTTTATTGTTAACCTTGTGATTGTATATTTCTGTTATATTTTTTTTTTACCATTTTATTCTATTCATTCTAACCAAATCTCCTAGTATTTCATTTCGACCATAAATATGCAAGAGGAGTAAACCATCTAATCCACCACAAAAAGTACAACTGGGAATAAAAATAACGGTTTGGAAATAATATATATATATATATATATATATATATATTTGTATTATCATTTCTTTTTGACATCATGTGATTTGCCGATGCAGGTTTTGTCTCAGTTATGAAAGATTCACCTCTTATCCCCATGCGTTGATTTTTTTTTCTCGACTTCTAGTCTATTTGTAAATACACAAGAAAATATCCAACACTATACCGTCTTCTTAACTGTCCAACACCTTTTTAACATGGCGAATGTTAAGGATGAAATCTCTATAGATGTCGCTTGGGAGGACCAACAGCGCATTTGCACCTTCTCCCGACTTCATCGACGTATTCAACACCTTCAAACTCGTCTGAAGCTCCTCACCGATGATATCGAGAAGTTCGAGGATGCCAGTACGGAGGTGATGATTTGCGATAGCGTTAAATATGTATTGGGCGAGTCGTTTGTCGACATGGATCCGGACCGCGCCTCGGATCTTCTGCAGGAAGAAAAGACGACTCTCGAAAAAGACAAGGAAGGCGCCGAGGAAGAGCTCAAGGAACTTCAAAGTGCTCTTGGTGAGCTAAAAGCGCAGCTCTATGCTAAGTTTGGAACTCAAATTTACTTGGAGGATCAATAAAAGATGATATGCATCTCTTTTGAAAGCAATAAAATTAGTAGCTGTGTGTGTATTTTCTTCACAGTGAATAGAAAAGATGCAAGATCTGCACTGAGCCTAGGCTTTTTTCTTCTTCAATCATAAGCCTACTTACAAGAAGCTGAATTCCCACATTGTCTTTTCCTTCCGCGCTGTCAGCTCATTCAATTTTTATGACGCCATCAATTCCCACAAACGAAAAGAGCCCTCTGGAGAACAGTTTTAAAGTATTTGATCTTTAAACCTGGAAGCTTATTATTTTTATTTGGTTTGGATGAAACTTCCAGTTTCCGTTGTGCTAAATAGTGTCCCGGTAAAATAAAATCAGCTGTCATGTCAGGGCGATTTCGACTGATCGGGGTTGTTGGGGTCACTGTGTAAAACTATTGTTCTTCGAATAGTCTGAATCCGTATGAGCTTAATGACTTTATGGCGTAAATACATATATATATATGTCTATAATACAAATATAGATATAGATTTGGTGCTGTTGGGTGGAAAATCAGCAAAAGCAATTCTTTTGCTATCCTACGCACAAAAATATGTGCAACCCACATATGCATACGCAAAAAAAAAGTTGAGGGTGGAGAGAGTAGAATAAAATGGCAATCCTAAATATATTTATCGCGTCTTGTTAATAAATCGCAATTTTTGAAACTTGAAAACTGAATGTGAATGAAAAAGCGCATGATCATTGGCACATTATTACTCCTACATACTCTCTCTCTTTCTTCCCAAGTGTAAAAGCCGCACAAAAATTAAAAGGTGCATATGCTTCACAAAGATAGATCTAATCTATACACAACCTATAACTATCAAAATTTGCATTAGGGAAACGATATCACTAACGATAATTCGTGATAGCGCTCTGAGAAGCTATAGAACTAAACGATGTTAGTAAATACCAGCCTCGTGATGCATGAGGTGATCTACCACGCGCTCGAGGAGTTAAACGCGAACAACGCGCACGAGTGCATTCACCTCATAACAAACGCCCTGGCGCACGACGAGAGCCCGTATTTACGCAAGGAGCTCATCCAAAACGTCCCCGCGGGGCCGAAAGGTGGCACCCTAAAACGCTATGGCGAGGGAATTCTCAACAATATACTCTCAGCCGGGGCGATGTTATCGCCGCCGAACACGCCGCTCTTCGGGGGAGGGGTCTCCGGCGTCGGCAGCGCCTTCATCGGCCCCAACCCGATAGGGAAAGCCGCGACCCACACCGTCATCCCCTCGAGCCCGGGGATCGTCGAAGGCGGGTATATTTCCCATTTAGCCGCGTTGGATGACAAGAGAGGGCCTTGGATGGATACCATCGGAGGGGGGAATGCCCAATCCCCCTCAAAACCGCCTCCCATCCCAACGGGAACCGTCGTGATGGGAGGGGGGGATACCGCCAAGGACCCGTCGGGAAAGGGCGACGCGGCGACGCCGCACAAATATGCCGGGGTGGTTCACCCGAATTTAATCTATTCCCGCAACCCTTTACACTCGGCGTCATCGCCGATCTCGCTGGGGAAAGAAACGATCTATTTCAATCGCATCCAACTACTTCGTCTACTGCTCATTCGCTGCAATGCGTTTACGATGCTTAAACTCTACAAACAAGCCCTAGTGGACGCCACCGCCGCCGTGGAGGTTTCCGAGGGGAAATCCGCCCAGGCCTATCTCCATTTAGGCCGGGAATATCGCCGATTTTTGCGAATTCCCGAGGCCGTCGCCGCCTTCGACGCCGCGGAAGGGATATTACGGGCCATTCACCTCGCCGATCTCGCCGGGCATCCGACGATTACGGAGGATATCCTGCCGGAGCCCCAGAGCGATGCGGATTTTTGGGCCCAACGCGGCTTTCGCGAGTGCGATGTGCAAAAACTTCATCTTCGTCGGGAGCAATTCGAAGCGTCGTCGTTTTCCACCACGGGCATTTCTGTGGGAGTCGGGGTTTCCCGCGCGGGGAATACCTTGGACAGTGCGCAGGAAAAGGATCACAATGGAGAGAGGGATTCCAACGGGGAAAAGGATGACGACGAGGAAACGGACGCGGGGGCTCCTGAGGAGGAGGCCGACACGCGTTGTCTTCGACTTTTCGGGATGACCGCGGGGGAGCTCGCGGGGTGGCGGCATCACGCCCGCGAGGCCCGCTCCGTGATGGCTGTGCAGGGCCACCACGCCTTGGCCCTGCCGATGCACCACGCGATTTTGACGCTCCTCACCCGGCGAATCGCGGAGGTTCGCGGGGGGCTGTTGATTTCGATCGAAAACGCGCTGACGATCCCGCTCGGCCTCGTCGGATCGCTCGCGCCGGATTGGGGCTTTTATGTCGACTTCGACTTCCCGACGGGGATTCGGCATGGGCACTGCGGACTCGCGATGCTTCAGCCGCGGCACTGGGGGGGCTACTCCGGGTGCGTGATTTACGCCCTCGGGGAGACGCTCTGCTGCTTTTTTTACTTTGAGCGGACGATAATGGGGGCGATTAAATTCGGCGTTCACTTTCACGAGGTCCTCACCGATGTCCTTCGGCAGGCGCTACGGCAGAAGGCGAACTCCACCGCGGTGGGGGCGGCGTTTTCCAGCCCAGGCCACGTCATCGCCAATGGCCAGCTCAACCACTCCCCCGCGGGTTCGAACGAGCTGCACACGCCGACGCTGAAAGGGAGCGTCCTGATGAACAGCGCCACGGCGCACGCGAACCGGCTGGTGGCGTTAAACACTCTCCAGACGCCGCCCTCGACGACCTGGGAGGCCGTCCACACGACGAGCCTTCCGGACGGCCGCCTGGTGAAGGCCTCGGCGTTTCTGCATGGGGCCCAGACGGTTTATTTCGCCCTTTCCGAGATCCCCCCGGTGCGGCTCAGCGCGGTGGAGATGCTCCCCGCGCTGGAGTACGCCGGCCCGCTGGTCCTCAAGAAGCTGAGCGTGGTGAGCAAACGCTACCGCGCGATGGTGAATTATTTGCCCCCGCCGATGTTCTTCGGCGGCGAGCGGCATGCCTATCCAGATTATTGCACAATGGGGGATGGCCTGAGCTCGCCCTGGGTCTTTCGCGGGGGGCGGGCGATGACCTGGCGGATCCTCCTCGAGGCCACCACCCCGGACCACGAGGAGTTCCGCGTGGTGGCGGGGAAAGCCAACTTGGAGGGGGCCCCGCGTGCGATTTTGTGCATCGTTACCAGCGCCCCGATGAAGGTGTCGGGGATGGTGTATTATGGGGACTGCCGATGCCCGCTCCTCGCGATCCGCGAGAGCCGAATGCCCTTTCGGAGCACGCTTTATTTCACCACCCCCAACGCCCGGGGGTTCGCAAATTGTCGGGTGGACCCCCGGCAGCACTTCACCCTCAGCCTCACCGCTGGCGGCCTCGAGGAGGTCCTTTACTGCGCCCACCCCCACTCCGATGAGCGAGGGGAAGGGGAGGTGAAGGGGGGAGAAATGGGGGGGGGGAGGGGAGGGGTGATCCGAATCACGCAAGGCTCCACCGGCGAGGATACCGGCCCCTCGTCGGACCCTAACCTCCTCTCCAACTTCGTGTCGAGGACCTACATGAAGCAATTCCTCTTCAAACGCCCCGCGCGGGCGGGGGAGAATAACGCCGGGGATGCCATAAATGGCTCTGCCACCGCAGCAAAACTCCGGATCTTCCCAGTCGGCTGCTGCCCTTTGAAGAAACGAACGGTGATGGGGGAGATAACGTTCATGCCGGGCGCCGATACGCTGCTCCTGACGGCGATGGCTTTTTGCATGATTCGATGGTAAGCTCACTTTCGTTCTATGGATATCTATATACTGAATAGACTTAATAGAACTCTGTGGATGAGAAGAAAGGGGGGAAAGGGGGTATGGTCTTTTCTCCAAACAAAAGAATGGTGGAGTAGCAGATACTGAAAAATTCAGTGATCAAATTGGGAGAGATTCACATATACGAGAAAAAGGGATGGCGCCATCGGGAGAAGCGACCCTGTGTAAAATTGATCAGTTAGAACATGTTCGCCTGGGCAAAAAAAAATTGAAAAATGAGGTTGACGCTTCTTAGTTCCGTATTCGCGCTTAAATAAATGATGTAATAGGGGTTTCAAATATAATGCAAACTATGCCTTAGTGTTTAACTTTTCCCTCCCTTCCACTCCATGCATTTATACATGTATTGTTTCTTTCCTGCGCGTTTTTAATCTTGATATTTTTTTATATTACGTCACTTTCTATGAAAAAATTTTCCATCGGGTTTCCTCACCCCATCCCCCCCTTTTTTTAGGTGGAGGGGGAAGGGATCTGTGTATGTTTATGTGTGAAAGAAGGGGAGGGGGAAAAATGATAGAAGGAAATATTTGAATACCTTCTATATCCCTCTTGTTAGTTTTTCCAGATGAAATTAAACTTTACCTCCATGTGGTATAGAGAAAATATATCAACGAACGGATGAGCTACTGATCATTATATAGGTGTATTTGCTCTCTGTCTTTTTCCTCTCCTTTGGATGGAGAATTTTTCGAAAGTAGAGAAGACTCTTTCACATTAGTATAACGTAGTTTGCCAGGCTATAAAACACTTTGTAGCTTAACGTTCCCTCCTTTTGATTCTCTATCCTGCCTGTTACAAGGCTGTTTTTTATCAGGTTACCTTCTCCAATAATTTATTAAATCACCTCAGACGTTGTATGTTGCCGCTCTTGCTCATGTATACTAAACCTTATTCCGCCACCTGTTGTCTGCGTTAGCTTATTAAAGTTCAAGTCTTAAAATTGTGAAAGTATTTATATATTTATTTATGAATAAGGGGAAAAGATAAATCGACCTCAAATAATAAACTCTCACCAAGCGAGTGAAGTGGAGTTCGCTTGGTCTGAATTTCTGGAGGGTGAGGGAGGGGGGGAACACCGAAGTATAATCGCCAATAACCCCGAAGAAAAATCCATCTAAATGACGACTCTTCCCTCAATCACGCGTGATTCCGATGCCCACTCGCTGTCTGCGTCCCTACCGATGTGTACGGGATGGCTAGAAAAGTACACCAAAAGCCGCTTTCTGTTCCGCCCTTGCAGCTGGCATCGCCGCTATTTCTTCCTCACCCACGAGGGCCTGGGCTACCTGCCCGAGGAACCCGCGGTGCCCCTGTCCTTTGCGCGGATGCGGGCCCTGTCCCGCCGCTTCATCCCCTTTGAGCGGCGCCAGAAGGACGGCCTGGTCCTTCTGCCCGTCTTCTACATTCAGGACGTGGGCGCCCTGAAGCCCGCCGCCGTCCCCGCCACAACCCGCAACGGCATCTGCGCCTCCGCCCTGCTGCAGGAGGCGGAAGGGAAGCGGACCAAGGAGCGGGGGGACCCCCCCACCCCCCCCCTGGTCTACCACTTCGCGATCCGCTGCAAGCGGGGGAGGCTGCTGCTGCTGCGTACAACGGCCGCGCAGGACTACCAGCGCTGGGTCGCCTACCTCCCCCTCTACTTGCCGCAGGGCAGCCGGCGGACGGGGGTGCCGCCCGGCACCACGAGCGCGCCCAGCCCCCTCGACCCCGACGAGGACCTTGATGCCATCTGGCGGATCTGCCGGGGCTGGGAGGAAGGCGAGCGCGACCGCGTCGTCACCGCCATCTCGCGCGCCGTGGCGAGGTCCGAGGCCGACGCCGCCCACACGCTCGGCGCAATCTACCAGGCCCCACCGAACACCTACATCCAGACCATCTTGGACAAGTTCGCCGAGTGCGCGGTCGACGTGGTCGAGGATGAGCCGGAGAGGGAGAGGGAGAAGAAGGGGGAGACACCAAGGAGCACGTTATGCGGGTTGAGCGATAGCATACAGGAGAGCTCCTAAGGAAAGATAGAAGAAATTGAACATTGCATCACCTTTTCTTCTTCCATTTCCTACCCCCACGCATACACACATACACTTCAAAAAAAAGTACACCCACTACATAAATGTTGAAGGCAATTAAAATCTTAGTGGATGAGGTAAACAATTGAACGGTCTATGATATACATATTTAAACGAAAGGAATTTCTTTTCGTTTATTGCCCTCTCGCCAATATGAGATAAAGATAGCCAAGGAAAAAGAAATGAGATGGAATATGCTAGATCGAGCATAAATGATTAAATTAAAACTCTTTTTCTGACGAAATGGCCACAATGCTAACCCATCAACAGCAAAAGGTATTTGGACGATAAAAATCCAAAAATTTTTACTAATTTGTTTTGATATTTAAAGGTTATGACAGAGGAAAGAATATCCTACAATTGCCACATAATTAAAAAAATATATCATTGATGCATGTATATATATATATATTTATGTATATATATATGTGAGTTAGATATGAATGAGAAAAAAACTCAAAATCATGGAACACTGTGGTTTGAAAAAGCTGGGTAGGATATAATAATACCCTTGTTAAATAGGTTATGATATTGTTTTTTTTTCGTGCATGTTATTATATATTAGTTAAAATTATATACATAAAAGATGCTCACCATATGTATGGAAATGTTGCGTTCTATTAAACTGAAGAGGGAGTAATGCCACGTTGAATCTATTACTATAATGTTATGATTCATACAATAATATTATTATTGATAATGAACATGGCTTTCTTTTTGATATGAAAAAAACGGTGGACCTATTTATAAACTACCAACCAAAGTACTCCGTGAAAACTTTAGTTCTTTATGCCGTAAACTAATTTATTAACATCTGTACGTGGATCTTGACATGAGTGTGTTGTAACATACTCATAAAAGAGTACAGATATGTAATTGTAACATTGCACTGAGAAAGAGGATACTGCCGTAATTCCCAGTTAGTAGAGTTAATTTGTCTCTGTTTTGTTTATTGCTTGGACCCTTTACTTTTATATTTGGTGACTTGGTAATATATATAATGCTTATATAAGTGTGAGCTTAAGAACACTAATAACTGTAAAAGTTTAACGTGGTGATGTATATTACCACATGGCAATAAGCTTTTCTATATTATTTCACTTGGTTCTTGCTTTTTAGATTCATTATTTAGTTATTTATTAGGTTATTCGTGTTGAATTATGTTTTCTCACACTATTTTCCAGATGTCTTTTTGATCTTACGCTTTTTTGTTTTGAGGTTACCATCCTTACCACCCTCTCTCTTTTTCCTGCTGAGATGTTGAGTCATTGCCACTTTAGATATGGTGAAGCTTACTTATCTAAAATGACATTTACAGTAACACATAGTATAAAATTGTTTCAGGGACGTGAAATAGTCCTCACGCATTGACAAATTATAGAGGATGTGATGCAAAGGGGATGGTGCTTTTTGCTTGTTGATTTTTAAATGTGATTGTTAATATTAATTGGGTGAAAAAACTACCTGTATGAAGAAATAAAGGAAACAAATGCGAATATAGCTGTCCTAATAATTTCGAGATAGCGCTATTATACTCCCCTATACTTTCCTTTTGAATAAATATCTTCTTTCTCTTTTTTTTACCCCTTTTCTTCAAATATTTGGAAGGATGCATGAAATTGTAAAACTTTACCACAAGACTATATAAACTTATTTGTAAGCTATCGGTTTGGATCTCAAATGAATTCAATAACGTCGTGATATTTTTCACTTTTATTTATGACTTTGACTACCTACCTTCACTTCGATTGAATTACAGTACACAAAGGTTTAGAAAGGAAAAAAACTTGAAAATATACAATATTTAATATCATGCATAGACAAGGTTTTCTTAACTATATAACTTGGAACAGTAATAATATTCATCGTTATTTTACTGATTCAATGCATGTGCTCATAAATCCAATAATGACGTTATAGCTATGAGTGCTGATAAAAAAGATCTCGCTCATCCATAAATCAAATTTACCCCCTTTTAAATTGCAAACCTTGTCAATTGATATCCGAATGATCTAGGAATTTTCTTACAAAGGCAATCGCAATAAGAATAAAATTTGAACGTATGCAAAATGAAAAGAGAGGAAAAACTAGAAGAGATTCTGATGAACCCACTTGTTGTGAGATACAGAATAGAATGTGTGCTGAAAATGTTTTCAATTTAGATTCCTTTTTCATCTAATCCACTTTTATATACAAATTTTGTCTCTAGATATTTTGTCCTATCATTTGCATTCATATTTTATGGTATGGGTTTGTAAGGAGCCTTGCTATTTCTATGCTCCTATAAGTTAATAAGGTTAAAGTATGACGTTAAGAAAAGGTAGCTGTGGTGGGTACTTTGCTTCTTCTTAATACACATATTGGTGTTTTTCCTAATCATGGTAATATATATATTATATTGTTGATATATACAGCGATGTAGAACAAAATAATATTACGGAAGAGGAAAATAGAGTAAGGGTGAGGTGTGGATTATGGAAGAAAAGGTATGGAAGAGAATTGAGCAGTTTTTTACATGTATATGGATTCTATTCGCATGCTATGTGGTTTACCGTATTTTTGTTTCGTTATTATTTCTTTATTTCCAGATAATGTTGCGTGAGGAAAGGAAGCTGTAAGGGGTTGGTGTGATAGGTATGCACAGGCAATAGCAGAGAGTGTAATTCGATCATTCCTTTCTCTCTCAAGAACGTACACAGAAAGGGGAGTACATTTATCTTGTCAAAAAAATTCAAACAAAATATTTCACAAACACCTTGATGATTTAATCCTGTTTTCAATTAGAAAGTTAGGCTGATTGAGCGATAAGTAGTCCGCGGATAAGATAGAGGAGCTTGAGGGGGGGAAGGAAAACAAATGTTAAACCTGGCTTTGAAAGTCTGGAATTTTATCTTAAAGTCCACCCTACATATTTGAAGGTTCCACATATGTCATTGTTAGCTTTTTCACACGGCGAGATGAAACCCTTTTGATTAAGGCCAAGAGTACAGATGGTGTGCGCTTCATTTTTTTTTCTTTATCCGAAGATTATGTATCAATGAAAAAATCGACAAAGAATAGAGCTCACGCTGTTTATAAATGAAGAAAACTAAATAGAAATTAAGCAGAAGAGACAAAGAGGAAAACAAAGGAAGCATCGAGGAGGAAAAGTGCCACTTAGGAAGTTTTATGGATTGAATTTTTTTTTCATAAAATGAACTCTGTTCTATCTACCCTAACCCTAAATTCAAGATGAAGTCGTTTAAAGTTCATCTGCTTCGCCGTTTCTTTCCTTGATGAGCTTATCATCGTGTGAAAGGGGCGCGAAAGCCTCTCATTTCATAGCTAGGCCTGCAAAAAAGGCTTGTGATGAAATGAAAAGGATCCCATTTTTGACTTTCCTCTTCGTCTACTTCTTTGCTTATCTTTTTCCCTCTTCTTATGTAATTCTCTACTGACGGAAGGGGGGTTATTCTCTCCTGTGAAGTAGTGCATTCTTGCTTTGATCTGTTTAGGATTTTTTCCCTTTTTTTATTTATTTTCTTGTTGATTTCTTCCTCTTCGAGATTGAATATACCGGCCGTAGCGGTCACCTGCAACCTCGTGAAGGTTAAAGAAACCACAAGAAATGAAATAGAGAAAAGATGGCGTCATTGCCGAGATTTGCGTTCAATGGAAAATATCACTTGCGGATAAAAAAGCAAAGGTGAACAAAGAGAAGCATGATAAACAAAATAATATAGAAACGACTCAAAGTAAAGTTATGAAGACAGGAATCAATTGCAGTGAAGGAACTTTCTCACAGATTACGTAGCCTCATATTCCATCCCTGTGGAAGAAAATAAAATATAGTGAACGAAGCCACTGTCTGTACTCAAAGCCAGCTTCTAGGTATATAGTTTTATAGGATTTCACATACCCATTTTTTTTTAATTCCCCCTGTTGACTCCAATCTTTTTTGGCGATTATTTATCGACAATGGGGCCATATTCCTCCATGAAAACATTATCATGAAATGAGGTTGTGCAAAAATATTTTTACTCACTCCCTTATATATCCTCTTTAATTACTATCATATGCTTTTTTTTGATTTGGTTGCTTTTAGTTTGGGTATGCTCGACCTCTCTTGGTAAAAGTCTATAAATTGGCTTTTCATAACTTCTATTCATCACCTCAAATTTTTCAAAAATGCAGTCCATAATTAACGAAGTAACAAGAAGTGACCTCGCGTCCAGTAATATTTATCGATCTTGTGTTTAGGAATCAGCTGCTTGCTCCTTCCCTATTTGGAGACGCATTGCATTATTAGTAGTAATAGTATTACTATTAGTAGCTGTATTGTTACTATTACTATTGCCGTTACTGGTAGTATTGTTACTATTAGTAGTGATATTATTGTGAGTGAAATTCCTTCCTTTAACTTCCCTTTTCCCCTAGTGTAACAGAAAAAAAGGATCGGGGGAGAATACCCCAGTACACGATGAACCCAACGGCGGGATCACATGGGGCATCCCACACCTTCACCCTCGCCGAGCCCATCGCCCAGTGCGCAGAGGCGAAACTTTACCGGGCAGACTTTTACGGTCTCCCCGCCATCTGTAAACTTCGTTTTAGAAAACTTTACCGGCAGGTGAAGTTGGATCAAAGGCTGCGTGAGCTACGGACGCTGCGGGAGGCCCGGGCCCTCGCGCGCTGTCGAAAACATGGCATCCGCTGCCCAACCCTCTATGCGGTTAACCGAAAAGACTGCACGATCATCATGGAATATATCAAAGGACGGACGCTGAAATTGGTTTTGGATGATGAGCTCAAAAAGATCACCCATGGCGAAAAAAAAGAAGAGGTGAAAGCAACGCCGTACGCTCTGCTGCTCCTCCGCGGCGTTGGCGAGATCGTTGGGCAGCTTCATAACGCCAACATCACCCATGGTGACCTCACAACGTGCAATTTTATTGTTGAGGATGACGTCCGCGCGGAGTTTCCTTCTTCTTTTTCTTCCCCGACATGGATATTGTCTTCCCCTCCTGCTAAGCTAATCCCCTCAGGGGCTCGAAAAAGCCTCGTCGTGATTGATTTTGGCCTTGTGGTGGATAAAAACTCCGCGGAAGAGCGCGCGGTGGATTTATATGTTTTAGAGCGTGCCGTGATGTCAACGCATCCGTATTTGCAAACCATCGCGTCGACAGTCATTTTAGAAGGATATATGAACGTCGTGGAGCCGAAGAAGGGAAAGGCGACGCTGGATCGACTGGAGGTGGTGCGATCGAGAGGGCGAAAACGTAGCATGATTGGATAACACAATGGCAAGGAAAGTATGCACCAATATTTTGAAAAAAAGGACGCAGGTTTGATATTATCACATAAGGAAAGATGGCCCAAGATATTATCTGGTTGGTAAGCAACCGGTATTATTATTATACTTGGACAAATAAACGAAAAGTTATACTTCTCATCCATAGAATAAGTGCATAGTTTGCATTCAATGATCCCCTTTTCCAGTACGCGATTCGTCTTTTGAATAGTCTTTCTTTCAGCTTCTTAGCTGAATCACTGCAAAAAAACATTTTCCAAAACCTCAGCAGAAAGGCTCTTCTAGTATTTTTCCTACGAGTCTGGGATAAAAACGATAAACATAGATACTTAAGAAGCCCCTGAACCAATAACCAAAATCTTCTATAACACACGCAGAGGGAGGGATTGGAGAGGAGGTAGTGACATAGATCTGTATGACAATTAGATAGATACGAAGAAACAAATAAAACTCTCAGTTATAGAAATGAATAGAGACATCTCATCTAGCAAGAAGCTAACGCCGAAGCCTCGGCATAGTGCCTCTTCCGCAACGGCGACGTCTGCACCATCTACGGCGCTTTCAGTCTTGCCTCGTTGGCGCCAATCTTCCGCGGGACCGTCGGCCTCCGGGGATGAAAAGGGCAGCGATCCTGCATCCTCGCCACGCTCGCTTTTCCTTTGCTGCCGTGGCCTCATTTCTCTACGTCATATTCAAGGATTGGAGGGGATGCGAGAGCTAAGGTCGCTTAGTGTGCATATGAACGCTATCCAGAGGGTAGAAGGTCTCGGCGGGCTCCATCGGCTCGTCGAGTTGGATCTCTCCGCGAATGAGATTCACGAACTGAACGCCCCCGACGCCTTCCGTGGGCTGTTTTGTCTAAAACGTCTGAATCTATCGAGCAACTTCCTCAACGTCCTCCCAGAGGGGGTGTTTGCCTCACTGAAATCGCTCGAGTGGATCGCGTTGGCGTTTAATCGCCTGGAGGATCTCACAGGGCTCCGCTCAATCCCAGCGAAGGCGCCTTTGGCTTTTGTGGATTTGTGCGGCAATCGGATCCAACAGATCGGGCAAGTTCTTGAGGGCCTCCACGCCCATCGCGCGAAGCTTCGCGAGCTCCGTCTTCGAATCCCCCACGCGATGCATTCCCCTCCATTCCTCCCCCCGACCTCGCGAACCCCCCAAACGACGGTGGCCCGAAGTCTGGGAGTTCGCCCAATCACGGAGAGCGTCTTCGTCCTTGCGGAGAACCCTTTTTGTGGGGAGGACAACCCCCCGATGAGGGAAATCCGGGGGAGTGGAATCGCCGGGGTGGGAGGCGCACCTTACGCGGACGAAATTCTCGAGTTTTTTTCGAGTTTGGTCGTCCTCGACGGCGTCTCCTACGCGGTGGACCCTCTCGCGGAGCTCGCGCAAGCACGCGGAGAGGGGGCCTCACGCGACCAACCCGCCCCCTCTACCTCGCCTATTTCCTCTTCTCTCAGACTGGAGCCCCCCTCGCGGTGGCCTGAGGAGGTCCTCGCGCGTGTTTTGCGGAAAAAAACATCGACCAACGCGAAAAGGCGCGCTGATTTTGAATTTGACGACGACGGCATTGTCCGCAGCTCGCGAAGTGTCTCCTCGAAGAATTCGGCCCGTTCGAGCCCGCGGAGGATCACCTCCTCCTCCGGGAGACGGAGCCCCTCGCGGCGGGCTTCCCAGCACGACAACGAACGTCGAATGAGGAGGAAAAGAAAAAAAGAAAATACCTCAAAGTCCGCTGGGAAGGCAGAGGAAAAGAAGTCCCCTCGGAAATCGGACGACGCCGCGGTGGATGTGGACCATTCAGCGCAGGCTACCCTCCCTTTAGATCCCAATAGTGGCCCTCCTCCGGCCGAGAAGGAGCCTCATCCACTTTTCTCGCAAAGGCTCCGTGAGCTCGAGGAGGCTCTACGGCAGTGCAAAGAAGAAAAGGAGCTCGCCCTTTTAAACGTGCAAGGCGGGGAGGAAAAGCTACGCCTCCACGCCACGATTGAAGAGGATTTACGCCGTCAATTGGAGCTCGTGCGGCGGCGTGTGGAGGAGGTCGAGGAAGGTTCAACCGCGCGAATCCGTTTACTCAACTCGCAGGTGGCCGCTCTCAAAGATGAGCTCAACCGCCGCTCGCAGGAAATTTTTATTTTACACAAAACCCACCAGGCTGCCCTCGGGGAGCAAAAACGACGCCTGCAGGATGAAATGGAATCCACCAGACGTGAACGCGAGGGGGAGCTGATGATGAAAATCAAGGCGGACGCTGCGGAGCGCGAACGCGCGCGTGGTGAGGCCGAAGAGGAGAAAATAGGGCATTTGTTGGGTGAAATAGAAGGCGGTCAGCAGGAGCTGGTGGCGAGGCGGGAGGAAATAACTCGCCTGGGGAGGAAATTGCTCGCATCGAATGAGGCACTCGCCAAAGCGCATGAGAGTCTGGAGAAGATGCGAGATTTCTTTCATTTGCAAGGAGAAGAGCTGCGCGAGCGGCATGATCTGGAGCTGCGAGCCCTGGCATGGTATGGAAACGGTGATGGAACTCTACCGAAAGTCTCCACCCCCGAGAGTGTAAAAAATGGAATGGATTTGAATCAATTTTTTGTTGGTGCGCTTCGCATTCTTCTTTCGGAGCGCCATCAGCTCTTATGGGATTGGGAACGCTGCCAGGGGCATTATCAAACCCACCTCCAGACCATTCAAGTGCAATACACCGAGGCCCTTCAACACGCCGAAGGGGAGCTCCAACACCTCACCAAAGAACTTGATCACGCCCGGGAGCGAGAGGAAAAAATGCTAAAAGCGATGAAAAGAAATCGCTCCCCTTCCAACCCCGTCTACGAAGATGCGTTGGATCCGATTTCAACCTTGGAAATCGAAGCCCAGCGCTTGGAAAAGCCTAGAAGCGACGCGAAAGAAACGGCTGTCGAGGTGGTGGAGCTTTCACTCGTGCACGAACACGCAGGGGGGTCAAATGCGGCTGAGGTTGACGTGAATCCGAAGGGAAGGGAGGCCGACTTTCTTCGGACGACAAAGTATTGGAAGGAGTTCAGCGAGCGACTACACGGGGAACTTCAGCGGCTTCGCGAGGCCCACGAGGTCACCGTGCAGACGGAGCTCGCCACCGCGAAGGAAAACGACCGGCTGCTGGAATCCACCGCGGACCTCGAGCGGCGCCTGCGAAAATCGGACGAAGGGCACCAACTTGAAAAGGAAAACCTCCTGCGAACGCTGCACAATCTTCAGGAAGACTTGGAGAACAAGCGCAGATCGCTGGAGACGCTTGAGGAAGAGGCGCAGGCAAAGATCGGGGAAAAACGACGCCGGATCGCGGAGCTCGAAGGAGTGGTGGAATCCCTGCAAGAATCGCAGGAAAGGCAGCTCAAAGCGCAGGTGAAATACCGAGAGGAGGCTGAAGCCCGCGCAAAAGAGCAAGAAGCCACCTGCCTTGTTCTCCGCGATAATAAAAAGCATCACGAGGAAGAAATACACAACCTGAAGGCTAGGATTGGGGAGCTTGAAAAGGGCGCCGCCGCGAGTATTCAGCTCCAACGCCTTGAGCAGCATCACCAGAATGAAAAATCACGTCTAATAGAGGCCATTCGAATTGCGCGTGATCAACTGCTTCGTCTACATCACGAGAGCTCTACTTTAGTTCAGCAAAACAAAGAAAAGAATGCTGCCTTGAATAAAATGGAGCTGGAGCTGCAGAGCTGTAAAGCGGAACTGGAGGAAACAGAAAAGAGTAGCCGAGCAAGACAAAAAGCAACGTTTGAGATGTTATCCCAGATGATTTTCACGGATAAATAACATTCTTTTTATTTTATTTTATTTTGTACTCATATTGAAGGAAATACCCCCCCCCCCCCTTCCCCTCCCTCCATTCACTCGTTCGATGCGATCGTGATAGATGTTTATATCAAACTTTCGAAGCCACACAACCTCTTTGGGCCACCTACTGAGGCCGTATTTCCTCATTCATTATACCCCTCTTTCCTCCTCTTATGGATATTCTCTAGTTACAGTGTATCCCTAGTTACAGTGTAACAAACAAAGAACATCAGACTCCTGCCCTCTTGTTAGGCCTGGCTCATGCGACGTCTCCACCGCAGCCTCCCCAGGCCAGTTGGGGCTGGGGATGATCGAGGGGGGGACTACGCCATATCCGGGGGCCTTTGGCTGGCCCGTCGGGGTCGTTTCTACCGGCCTTTGACCAATCAGGGGATTAATCTCTGGCGAGAGAGGATGGGCCGCTTGCATCGTGGATGGGACTACTTCAACTACGCGCACACCCGGCCAGACCCTCGGCCGAGGCCGGAGCCCGCCGTTAACGACTATTACGGCCGCACGCGGCTTTGGAACCCGATCGCGGGGAAGATCGGCTTGGTGAATCAAAAGGCGGAAAATTGGAATTGGCCGGAGGGGCGGCCACCGCCGACAGGGCTCCGCCACTCACGTGAGTATTTCCCGCACTTCTTTGAGCGCTATTTCCCGGACGTCGAGGTCCGTCTGGTGCTGGACAGCGTCCTCAACCGCGAAACCATGCGCCCCGTTTTCCACATCCCGCAGGACATGTCCAAGCAGGAGCTGGTGAACTACCTCAAGAACCTATACGACATCGACCCGATCGTGCGCGTTCAGGTCCGCAATAAACGCGGCAGACGGTTTAAAAACGAGGTCGGACAAATTAAGTCGCTGCCGGATTATAAGGTTGCGGTGGTGGAGCTGGATTCACCCGTGAAGATCGAGATCAAACAAATCAAGGGCTCGGAAGATACACCGGACAACAGTCCCCAGGCCCAGTTATCGTAAACCAAAGGGAGAGGGGGTAAATATGGAATGAAATAAAGCGGGCAGAAAATACTGAAAAAAAGAAATCCCTTGTATAAGGAGTGAAAGCGAAAAAGGATGGCGGAGAAGATCGAAGTGTGTATAATTTGCTATTGAAGAAACCCACCCTCAGAGAAGGGAATAGGGCCCATGAATCCTAAAACAAATTATAATTATGCGTACATGGGCGGATGAGTCCTATCAATGAATAAGTTCCTTTCACCCCACCCCTCCTTTCTCTTATCATACACTACAATGATTTTATGTATATATATTCTCCCCAAATATGTCTTTTCTTTATATAGAAATCAGCATCCATTAACTTTCTTAGTCTCTATACATCTTCCCTTACACATACACATTCTCTTTCTTTTAAAACCCCAGACATGTCCTACAAACCTCACTACCCGATCGTCTCGAGCAACCCCAAGGTCTGGCTTGACATCCAGATCGGCGGGGTGGATGTCGGGCGTATCAAAATTGAGCTCTTCGCGGATGCCGTGCCGACGACGGCCGAGAACTTCCGCGTGCTCTGCACAGGGGAAAAGAAGCTGACCTTCGCCGGGTCCCCCTTCCACCGCGTGATCCCAGGCTTCATGTGCCAGGGCGGAGACATCACGGCAGGGAATGGGACCGGGGGGGAGTCCATCTACGGTCCCACCTTCGCCGACGAGAGCTTCCAGGGCAAGGCGGGTGAACACTTCGGTCTGGGCACCCTCTCTATGGCGAACGCTGGCCCGAACACGAACGGCTCGCAGTTCTTCATCTGCACGGCGAAGACGGAGTGGTTGAACGGGAAGCATGTGGTCTTCGGACAGATGCTGGATGGGTACGACGTCCTCAAGGCGATCGAACGCGTCGGCTCTAGTGGTGGCGCGACGAAGAAGCCGGTGAAGATCTCCGCCTGCGGACAGGACAAAAGCTAAATAGGGTGGAATGGCAACATCCATTAACCAATATATTTTAATAGTAATATATATTTATTTATTGAAAGGTGAAATAGGGCACTATTTTTCTCTTTTCCATTAATAAAAAGGAGAGTAATATTGAAGAAAAATGATAGTTTGATCGTCGAAAGTACCTTTGCATATTTTTGATTCTATTTTACTGAGTACAATTCGGAAAGTGCTTCATCTCAGGATCTTTTATTCTATTCCAGTTAATAGGTGAAAAAATGTAGATAAACACGCGTTGGCTTTCTTTTCTATTTTTCATGTCCCTATAGCTTCAGACTTTTTTGTAACCTGAGGTAAATAAGCTAATGTAAGCGAAAAGAGATGGAAAATTGAGAGAATTCGTAGTGTGTTTATATATCTATCTATAAAAAGAACGTTCTATCGACTTTAAATGACCATTGTGCATTCCTTCATTAAGATTTTATCTCTGGCTTACTTTCAGAATCCTGTATGGCGTATATTTGTATGACCATCTCCCATCCTTTTCTATACAACTAGACACGAATTCATTAGTTTTCAATTCGAAGCGATACGCACGCTCATATACAAGTGTGCATTTCCGAAAAAGCTACAAACTTCTAACTCATACGCACATATATAGACAAAACACTGGGGTATTTCCCTTTTTCATAATATAGATTATTTTTCATTTTACTTTTTTATAGTTTATTTACTCCAGCTTCGGATAAACAATATCCTAATACGACTCAATAATCATCATTTGATAATTATACAATAAAAGAGTTTTTTTAAAAGGTGTTGTGCGCATAGATTAACTAGTATATATAAATAAAACACAACTCCACGGTTTGGATTTGTTATAGATCCCAATGGAAGAGTATCAGTACAGCTCTGCGAACCTCCAGGCGACCCCGTATCAATCGCAAACCTCGTCCGCTCAAATTCTACCGGGTGTCTTGCTCTTTTCCACACCCGGGAAAACAGAAAATGCGTCCACCCCCTACGTCTACCGCGACCTCGGCCCCTCCTTCACAAGAGGGGTGCGGGGGGGAGAGGGGAACGACGACCCTCGTGGGGTGGGGCTGCCCGCCTTTCCGATCACCTCAACGCCGACCCGCCAGCCCCCGCCGCATCTCTCGTCAGAGGCATTTTTGTCAAATATCTCACACGGGGAGGAAAAGCTCGCAATGGCTGCGGAATCCTCGCAGACTCCAAGCCGACCAACGCATCCTGTGTGCCCCGGCTCCTCCACCCACCCCCACTGCCGGAGCTCGCGACCGGCGAGCGGGACCTCGCCAAACGAGCCCCGGCGCTTCCACCAGCGCGAAAAGCAGATCTCCTACGGGCTGGAGACGGTCGGATATAAAAATATGATCCGCCTGATCGCGCACGACCCGCTTCTGGAAAGCGGCGGGATCCTGCCGCTCCAAACGCCGAAGGTGGACCAGGGCACCAAGCGGAGCTGGGACATCCAAACCCGGAAATGGCGAAGAATCCTCCACATGTTCGACCACGTCTTCATCGACGGCGTTGACAACGAGGCCACACGCGCAACGGTGCTGGAGGAGCAGCGGAAGAAATGGGTGAGCATCTTCTTCACCGGGACGCCGAAAGAGCAGCGCTGCCGGCTCTCAATGGAAACCCTCTTCGCCGCCGCGAAGTCGCCGCGGGTGCCGAATAAAATCCATATCGACGCGAGCCTGAAGGTCATCCTGCGCTCCGATGCCTTCTACGCCCCTGTCAGCGACATCATCCCGCACTCGGCGTCTTCGCTGACGAAGGGCACCGGCATCAGCCCGCTCGAAGTGGGGTTTAAAATTCATATTGCCCCCTCCGTCGAGGTACTCCGCGCCAAGCAAGCCCAGAGCGAGTCCCTGGAGGCCCCCATAGCGAAGTCCGATGATGCCTCCCCCTACCCGCATCTTTTCTCGCCCGGGAGCTCGCCTCAGGGCTACTCACCGAGCCCTGCCTTGCCGAGTCAGAGCCATACAAAAAGCACGGCAGGAGAGACGTGGCGGAAAGTGCGCGGAAGCCCCTCGCCCTCGCAAGTGGCCGTTGTCCAGCAGCTTGCCTTTAACTCCGTCACCGTTTCCACCCCCGTCCGCCGCGGCCTCTCCAAGGCCCCACCGCCCCCCCAACGGCCGTCTTTTTCACCTTCGGCACATTCCCAGCCGCGGACGACGACGTCCTTCGCTGGGCCCTTTTTCCTTCCAGTCGAAACGCCGATCCTCGCGTCGGGCTGTCCGATCTACGCGGTCCCGACAACCGGCGCCGACAGCCAGACCCCTTCACACCCCCACCCCCAACCTCCGCCTTCCCAATCCCAGCCCCAACCCCAATTTCAGCCCCAACTTCGCCCCCAGTCCCAATCTCAGCCGCAGGCTCATTTCCAGCCCCAACTTCCGCCTTCACAGCCTCAACCGCATCCTCATTTCCAGTCCCAACTTCACCCCCACCCC